GTACAAGTTTTTGGGAGCTGATCGACAAATCAAGAGGATGTTCGCGGTCTACCAGATATACCAGTGCCTCGTCAAGTTCGACGTCTTTTTCTGGGTGGGTTTCCTTGTGCAATTCACCTGGCTGGTGCTGGACAGCCACTCCTGGGAGTTTTATTTCACTTGTGCCGCTCTGCCATTGTCGATTGTGCTGCTGGTGGAGGGCCACCTGGCAGCTCGATATGAAAATAAGTGGATGATGACCACATTCCTGTCTGGTTGTGTTGGCGCCATGGTATACTTTTCTTACAAGGTATGGCCACAGTGTTATGTGTCATACTTTCTCACTTCCAACCCTTGATCCAGTTTATCAAAGTCATAGTGAAGAAGGACACACGGCAGTTTGCTTCTGTCTGGGAGTCACTGTCCACATTTGGTTAGTGTCTGTGTTGGCTTGTTCATCGCATCCCTGACGTTGTTGCAGCTGTCATCGCCATCATTCTTCTCATCATGACCTTTGTCTACGCATGGATGGTCCTGCGAAACTTTGGACGTGGCTTGAAAGACCAGCGTACGTCAACTTCTAGACCATTCTATGTCCTTGTACCTGACACTGTTTTCTAGTCGCACAGAAGCAGACTACTGGAGGGGCAAACATACCGCGTACCCATCGTTGTCGGTGCGGCCTAACAGGATGAGCATCGACTAGACACACTTTTTCGTTTCTTCGTTCCCACGAACTTGTATTCTGTGTGTGAATACCTTGGCAGTGCATCGATACTGCGACGACCGGCCTTTATACCACTCATCGTCCTTTCGTTAATCCGCCGTGAATTATCCTTATACATTACAATCCGCGCTTGTGTGTTGCTGGGCTTCTCTCAAGCGTCCCACGTTCTTTCCTCGTTCGATTCCTACACCCCGTATTTTAGGGAGCGTTCGATTTCTTTGTCCGCATAGTCATCTTAGCCTCGCGCCAGGCTGGTTTCCGGTTGTGTTACTGAGCCGGGGGGGCGCTTATATGTATTTGATAGTTTCGATAGCTGAATTTAAACACCCCCGCTTGGAGCCTGGAAAACCACCGATCCATCCAAATGTATCATGGCCTCACCCAACCATGCTTTGCCACGTGGCGGGTGGGAAACGCACCATGGACTTGAATAGCTTACCTCATTCTGCTATGATCGCTCCTCTCCACTTCTTCTGAAACGATGACCCAAAGGTAAGTTCCTTCACCAATCCACACGCCACACGCGACAGGAAATATCATTCTCGCAGGCACCGCGTATCCCGCGCTGCCCTCGGGCTCGACGCCGGCTCCACATTCGGCCCCACACCGCCGCACTCTGGACGTTCTTCGCCATACGCGGGACACCACAATGCCTCGTCGGATACCGCGGTGTCTGCGGGTGCACGCTTCGTGGACGACCTCGAGGGCCAAAACGACGAGGCTATCGAGGGACTCAGCGCCAAAGTAAAAATACTCAAAGAGGTGCGTGAATATCCCTCGCCTTCCCCCCCAACATCCTACCTCCTCGTCAATCGATGTTCTTTGAGCGCCGCGTGGGGCGCGGCTGATTTTTCTTTTTCTTTTTCTTTTTTTTTTTTTTGAAGGGACATCCAATTGACGAGCATTCTATTTTTCATTTGGAATGGACGCTTAGATCACGATCGGGATTGGGAATGAGGTGCGCGATTCGACCATCCAGCTCAGTCAAATGGTATGTCTTTCTCTCTCTCTCTCTCTCTCTCTCTCTCTCTTCCCCTCCCTTCCCCTCCCCTCCCCTCCCCTCTCTTCTCTCTTCCTGTGCATGTGTGTCGGCGTGTGTGAGTCGTCGTCTACAGATGTGATCGTCATCGTAGCCGAAACAGAACGCTGACTCGACCCTTTTTTGTTGCCTGTCTGGGTGCGCAGAACGACGCGTTTGCGGAAACGTCGGGCGTTCTTGCTGGCACGTTCCGGCGCATGAACAACATGGCTGAGCGTCAAGGGTGTCGGTGGTTATGGTACATCGTTTTCCTCATCCTCGTGTTTTGGTTTTTTGTCATCGTCTGGTGGTTCCGACGGTAGCCCACCCGGTCTTACCTTCCCTACACGCCTGGGACTCTCATCCTGTGTTGCTAGTTATTCATACCTCGTTGTACGCATATAACCGACCCTTCGCTATACATTATCTTGCATTCTTTGGTTAGGCCCTCTCAGCGAAATGACAGCGGAGGCTGAACCCCTTCAGCAGCTTGGGGATATGCACATTGCCGTCGAGCGTGTATCACATGGTCGGAAAGACTGGATGTGTATCCGCTGCATTGGCATCCAAACATTTGGAAAACATGATAGAGAAACCAATAAAAATATCACCAACACGAAAGCCTAATCGGTTTTAGAACGTCATGTTCCAGCAACCAACTCCGTGCGCGCAATCTCTAGTACCATACGCCGTCGTAAAAACGTCATGCTCCTTTGCGTAAAGTTAAAGGGCGAGTCCATGCCGCGTGAGAGGGCCTCGAGGAACTGGCAGGTGAATACGCCGCAATCGTAGCCATTCTCTTGCTGAGGAGTATCCCGCGGGCAGTAGTCGACCCAGCCGGTCCAGTCGAATGGCTTAGATTTCTTGTTTAGGTGTTCGAGCTCGACGTATTCACGTAGGAGCTGACAGTATGCCAGTTGTATCAGGACCCAAGAGAAGCCTAGACAAGGCAAAAAGAACGTACATCGAAGACATCCTGCCGCCTCACCCCCATGCTGTCGAACGATTCTATCCGGCGTCGACGAAAATTTATCGCAGCCGCCGTCCAATGTGAGTTACCGTGGTTAATGGGTAAGAGTGCAACATCTTTCGAGAATAGATCGAACTGTCAACAGAAAGACTGATAAGTAACTTGTCCATGGGGTAGGGATGTACGCCGTACTTTTTTTGTCCATTTTGCAAGACGAGCTCTTTCATAACCTTCTTGCGACAACTTCTCGAAAAAGAACGAATTAAAGTAATGCACATTCAATATCGTGTTCTTCTTGGATCTCGCACCATTCTTCACGCCCTTGGTTTTGGGATTCGCTCCGATCGGTCTAAGATAAGTTGACCGTAGAAATTGATAATCTCGTCATTTAACCATGTGCCAGGTTTCAGACGGCTGAGATCACCGTCTGTGATCTGCAGCCTTGCGACTTTGGCAATAATGCCACGTTTCTTGAGTAACCTCGAAACTTCTTCATCGTCCCCAGGAGAAAGGAGATCGGGTAAAGGTGGGCCACGAAGGCGACTGTTAATCTCTGCATCTTTGTCGTGCCGGGCGATGCGGAGTTGTTCGAAGGATGGTATGAATGGTGGTGGAGGTTTAGGCCTACATTCATGAGTATTGGGACTAGGACGATAGGTACACGACCGCCGCACCCGCTCAGGGTTTCCCTCGCCTTTTGTAGGGCACGCTCAAGAAAATCCGGAGTGATATTCTATTAACATCTTATGAAACGGAAATTCGAGGGGCAGAAATAAGCGAGCGGACATCACCGAATGAGTGTCGTCTCTGGTCTTCATTTCGATATCTCCCTCGAAGATCGTTGAGGGAGCGGGCTGATCCTTCATAAGCGAACGGCCAACGACAGTATTAAAGACTCACACGACATTAACCCCTGACCATCAAGCAATTCCCGATACTTCACAAACCCTAAGAGCAGAATGGCATCTTGGTCACATCACTATACATAACGGGACATACCTTGGAAGGTCTGGAAGTCGGAAGAGTAACCACGAGCTCGTTCAAGCTCAAATAAGCGCTTCATCAATGACTCTTGCTCTTCTTTTCTTGATTCGAGTACGCGAGTTCTATGCTGAGGGTGAACAGTGAAGATTCGGGCGCGTAGATGGGAGGCAGAAGCTTACGACACTCTGGAAAATATGTTGTCTACCCTTCCTAGAGAAAACCTTCTTGACCACGCGGCCGGCGAGCTTCTTCTCAGCAACTGCAATTGCAGCATCCACCGCTTCTCGGGATGCTGGAAGGGCAGGTGGTGATACACTTGCGATTGCAGCAGCAGAAGGTTGGTGAGGTTCTGTGGTACTAACAGAGTCAGGCGGTTGTGGTCGTGGAGTAGGCGCAGGCGGCAGATTTGGTGATGGAGGGGGGGCCATGGATCGGTAGTATGGATTATGACGAGCTTCCACTCGTGATTCTGTTTGCGGGGTCTGGGGAATGTACAACGGTTTTTGTGCAGGGGTTTCGAGGGAAGGACTGAGGAATGCACCCGGAATAGACGGACGAAAAGGGAAAGACCGGGTGGCGGAAAGAGCACCGGTAACGGAGGTTGATGGTCCAGGGATGGGAGTGGAAGGAGGCTTGGAAGAATGAGGCAAGGCAATGGCGATAGGGCCCGCGTCGGGTTGGGGGGTTTCGCGGCTAAGGTATGTGCGAGTGGTGACGGAAGGGTTGATTGTATTTCTTCTGTTGGAGCGGAGGGCCGTCGGGGTGAATCGCGTGACTGGGCTAGACCTGACCGGCCTGACCGCGGGGAGGATCGTTTCGTGCGAATTGTTGGAGACTTCCTGCGAGGTAGATGTATCGTGTGTAAAGTACTAGGTGGAACAGACCGAGACGACGGCGTCATTAAGACGTCCGTTCGCTGCAGCTGTGATGACGAGGAACGTTGAGATGGTGGCCCTCTTAAAGCTAATGGCGAAGTCAATGGAGGGGAAGAGGAGATCTACGGTGAAGGGCAACGAACGTTCAGTAAAGATGCCAGATGCAGCTCTGTGCGTTAAGGTCACAAAGTTGGAGATCCAGTTGGACAAGAGGCCCTCGTTCTGCGAAGCGGTGGGGCGGTCACCATACAATGCCGTGGTTCTGGGGTGCTTGGCAGCTCGGATGGGAAGAATCGGGTCTTGTGGCCCTCGTTTGAGATCGAGCATGAGGAGAACGGGCAGTGGTGAAAATGGTGTGGCTCGAAGGAAGGTTGAGTCGCGGGCGCGCGTCGTGTTCAACAATTTGGGCGGACTGGAGTTGTAGCATGGAAAAACATGCCGTTTGACGCTTGGATGGCTCAGTTGGTTAGAGCGCAGGTCTCATATTCGAATTATGAGTGATCAGATGATCATCCAATCCTGAGGTCGTGAGTTCGATCCTCACTCCGAGCATCATTTTCCCTTTTTTTCCTGAGCACGCGACAACGTGCTTCCACCCCGCGACGCCTGCGTAGCCTCTGCATGCAGCCAAGCAAATCCGACCCCGACCACGATGTCGACCCTTGCCGTCCCCTCCACACCACGCGCAAGGATATCTCACGCGCCACCAGCCCCCGCAACTCCTGCTTCGCGAATAGCTCGTTCCGGTGCGGTTCAAGCATCGCCACATTACCAAACCACTCGCAGGCATTCCCTCTATGGCACAGAAGATCGCGTCGTAATTGATCCTGGCTCTCGTGTCTGGAAAGTCGGTTTCAGTGGCGAAGGTCGCCCTCGTGATGTCTTTTTTGTGAACCCGCTGTGGGGTCTCCAGCGCTCTCCGGATCCTTTCCAGCAAGACGAGGAGGACCGTCTGCTGGCGGCACAATTGCAGACCCATCTTAGAGCCGTCTTCCATGAGTGAGTTTTATGCTTTGCTTCCATTTAGCATTGACGCTTTGCGGCCAGTTCCCTGCTCACAGACCCAAAGTCGAGGAAGGTTATAATCATTGAGCATCCTCTCCTCCCCGTCTATGTGAAAGAGACCCTTGCCGAAATTCTCTTTGAAAACCTCCAGGTACCACAGTCGATGGTGCCTCTTTTCTCGGATTGACAGCTCGCCAGGTTCCATCTATATCGTTCGCTTGCAGCCACCTACTTTCTCTCCTCTCCGTTGGTCGAATAACGGGCCTCGTCCTTGACTGCGGAGAACTGGAATCCACTGCTCTTCCTGTATGTCGTTTCCCCTCCTTGTGGAGTATGATTTGACATCCATGCAGGTATTTTCTTCCCGGCCGCTCTTCCACCAACTTAGAACGACCCCTTTGGCTGGGGCGCGCCTAACATCTCATCTCCGTGCTCTCTTGCTCCTTTTTGGCACATACCTCCCACCACCGACATCTCTCAGCGCTGCTGTTAACATGCCTACCTCCTCTCGTTCAACTCGAGTTCCATTGGAAGTTCTTTCCGATGCAGTCCTTGAAGAGATCAAAACTCGTTGTTCTTTCGTCGGCGAAGCTATGGACACTCCACTGGATTCTGGCGTCTTGTCCCCACTGGGTGATGACGATGACCCTATGGACCTTGACTTGCCACCCAGCGACAGCGTCCCCTCTGAATCCGACTTCTCTCGCGTTTCAGCTGATCAGGACAGTAACGCTGACGCTGCACCAACTCCCTCCGATTTCTCTGTTGTTTCCCGGTCACAAGTCTTGCCAGGGCGTTCGAGTGCCAGCGAACACCAACTGCAGGCACTTGCGAACTTGTATATGCGTCACTCAACGGCGACGGACCTGCACTTGAAGGTCACACCCCCAGCCTCACAGCAGGTTGGCACCGGTCATGGCACTCTCATAATACCAGGGTGGATCCGAGAGAGAGGCTCAGAAGTGCTCTTTGAGGGAGGCGATATCGACGAAAGTAGCGTTGCTGAGACGATACTAGACTGCCTGCTAAAAGTACAGCCACCACCGATGCTACAGCTGCCGTTAACTGATTTCGTTGAACGCAGATCCCGGTCGACCTCCGCAAGATACTCGCCTCGTCTATTCTCGTTACCGGTGGCACCGCTATGCTTCCTGGATTCGTCCCGCGGTTGCACACAGAACTCATCCAGGCAATTGTAACCTCGCCTTCCTCTTCTGCAAAGCCACCTGTGCGCCTAGGTAGGCCTAGGCCACCAACTTACGACCGTTATGCCGCACTGCGCCCTTTGGTTCCTCACTTTGCCATTCTGAACAACCCTTCACCAACCCCTCCGTCAGGTGCACGGGGTAGCACCAATGCGGGGAAGGCTCCGGCGTTCACCCCCGCTATGATAGCCTGGGTCGGTGGCTCGCTGGCAGGGTAAGCTTTGTCATCGGCCTCGTTTCTGCGTCTCGTGATTCGGGAGCTCACCCATAACCCGCATACAGCGCACTGAAAACTGGCGGGGTGGAAGTCGCACGGGAAAAGTGGGATGAAGCTGGAGGCCTTCCGGGTCCGGATGATTCCAGAGAGGCAAGTGATGTTGCCGGGCGTTCCGCGAACGTCATCCCAGACTGGACGCGGACGCCATTACCCATGGGTGCGCCTCCTGCAAATCCACCGCCACCCCAAATTCCTGAGGCTGCCCCATGGGCAGTCGTAGGGGCCTGAACGGCAATTTGAGATTATGACTCTATGACTCTCAAGACCACGCCTAATTTGATGGCAATCACCGGCATGCATGGATGCAGTGCCTGCCCTGCCAAACTAAACCGAAACGATCCCCCTCCTATCCGGAGCTTGACCCCGGAAAATTGCGAGGGTTTTTAATAAAGTGCCCGCCATGCACGCAGTAGCCAACTAAACGGGCGTTCTCACTTGAAGCGGCGATTATGCGCCGATGAGGATTGGGGCTGAAATGTCCGATTAAAGACCGGAGTCACTGACCGCGGAACACCATGCTGAGCATCGTATCGTATATCATATCCGTATTGTACTGGGGTCGCAGTAGCGCAGTAATGACGTGCATTAAATTGAAAGGGGGGCGGCGCCGGCGAAATTCAAAGTCACACCACACCATCAACACCCGACACCCACCACCCCATCTTTCACCACCAGCGGCCGAATAATTGATCCTCGCCCTTTCCTCCTGACACATCCGACCGCCCCGCAACTTATCGCCGTCAGAGTATATAAGTCGACTTCGTCTATCCGCGCAGTTTCCTTGCCCATCTCGCTCTCTTCCCAAATCCTAATCAGGCTGTGTTGCCCTTCTGCCTCCCAGGCCCCTAAGCCTTCCATCCACTCGAACATCTCTTCATCATGGGTATGAGTTATAGGCGTTACTTGGCGGGTGCCCGTGTATACGGCTGCCTGAGATGTCGAACTCACCTCACTACTATTCACTCAATGATATCCAGGGTCAGTGTGGCTTCCCGTGCCTATTGCGACTGACTCAACGACCCACCTGCAGGCGTTCAATGGCCAGCACGGCCGTGCTTACTTGTTCGAAGACGTGTAAGATCGGTTGGAGGCACGATCATGTCGTGTGGTCACTAATGGGTGAATGCGTGCAGGGTTAACGTTATCGAAGGCGAACCGAATGACCGTCAGATGACTACGGGAAACCACACCGTCCGTGACATCTATTGTTGCAAGTGCGGCACCATACTCGGCTGGAAATATGTGAGCACGCTTTCTCCTGCCCCGTTTTTCGTTTCCTTTCTGCTCACGAACAACCCCTCGTCCGTCCTTCGCGGTGGCACGGCGGCAGGACAAAGCGTACGAACAATCCCAAAAGTACAAGGAAGGGAAGTACATCCTCGAGCGCAACCTCCTCGTCGACGTGCAATAGTCGGGTTCTTCCGCGACGTGTGCGCGCATTTTCGGCGCCCCACCCTTGCGGTCCACACCTCGGTTTATTTGGCAACCACACTTCTGACCTCCTGGGCAACGCGTTTTTTTTTTGTCTGACGTGCGACGGAACATAACCGCGCCCCAACCCCATAAACAGCATTCATCCAACCTCGCATCTGCATCTTCGCATCCGCATGTTGATATTGAATTCTCCCTCCTGCTTTGACCAACTCCACCTCCGATAGCCCGTGCCGTGCCGCCAATATGCGACTGGCGATTTTCCCACGTTATTACGCCATTGATGCATATTCGTCTCTGATGGTACCGTCTTGTTCAGTACACTCTGGGATGGGGATGTACGCCACCCCAGCAAATCCCGAGAAACCCGTAGGGACAGTCCCGGGCTGAGCCGGCTCGCTCGCGTCCATGGTACCCCCCACTTCTCACGGTGCGGAGATTCCCTATCAAAGGTTCTATATAACTCCAATGTTGCTCCCACTCCATTTTTACGTCTCTTGTGACGTATTTGCAACCTACACGTTTTCACACTGTTCAACCAGCTTTCCCTCTGGCCTCTGGCCTCCATCCCTCCCAATGTTCGGCTAGGGTGCCATACTTTACATTTGTCACCCACGAGTTACCCACTTGGGTGTCACTCTATCACGGTGCGGATGATGGATGCCCTCTTACTGTAATAGTTGAGTTATTTCCCATAGAGCTTGTTTATATATATCGCGTCCTTTTCAATCGAGAATATTATTCCGGTTGTCAAGGCCGTTGTCCGAAAACAAGAGCTGCTCGCGCCTTCGTATTACACGTGAGCCCCATTCGGTGTCTTCAGAGTCTCACTCGTGGTGACTGTGGTAGGTCTCAAGTTGATCGCGGTCTCGTGGGTAACGTGCAGTGCAGGCAATCTGAATCCGGCTTCCGGCAACACAGTGATCAACTCATATTCCACCTTTCTCGCGGTGGCCGGCCATCATTGCATCATCGCCGCGTTCCGAGATTAGCAAAAACAAATAATCTCACTCTCACACACCTTGATTATCAAGAACAGGTAAAGCGCGGTTGCCGCCCGCGTCGAACGAGTGAACGCCGTCATCTGGGAAGGTGGTCATCATTACTTCTCTCGACTTGTCACATTCCAGGAACAGTCCAGCCTCCGCGCCAGCGAGTGAGGCTAGTGAGGTCCCGTGTCCCACTCGTGAGGCGCGTGAGGGACGGGACCACGAGGTCACAGTAGCATTCCCGTACCATTTACTGTATTCACTTAGGAACTTTCGGTTCTACGGATTGGGCGCGAATAAAATACTCATTTCAGATTAAAACATCATTTTTTTTCGGGCGGGATCCACGAATACTGTACTGTAGTTTCCGAAAGAAATTCCATGTGTATGTGTGTATATCAAACGACTCATGCATCACAGGTTCAATTACTGTAGTGCCATCATAAAGGGATGTTTGGCCGAGTGTGGAAATTAACCACCTGAGAGGAAAAAAGAGCGTACCGCCCAAGGACGGTGAGGTAAAATCTATCAGTCCTTTTAATCGTCGTCTCCACAACTCAAGTGTGCCGTCTGATGATACGGAAAAAGCGGGGAATTGAACTGGGCACGTTGAACCTGGATTCAGGGTAGAGTACACAGTCTATGTTACAGTATTAAGTTCGGTAGGAACGGCGACATGCCGCGTTGTCGAGAAATTTCCTTCCAATAGCCTGGGTCGTTCGACCCCGCTTCACAAAATGTTCAACTGCGGAGGACCTCCAAGTCGTACCGATCACACATGGCACAGGCGAGCTCCGAGAGGCAAAGGAGTGCCTGCCTTGAAGGTGCTTCTCAGCACCTGTCCTTGAAGATCCCAAAGGCCTCGTGAAGGAGTACGAGAGGGATCGTCGTAAATTCAAACGGGCAATTGCAGGCCACTGTATGGTCTGGCCCTGAAATCGTCTTGAACACAGCAGGATTTGCTAGCGATGATGGCGCCGCCTTGCCGAAGGCTTTCCTCAGCTGCTCGACTTCTGGTGGGGGACCACCTTTGTCACATTTGTGCTTCTTTGTCACTGCAGTGACGAGATAAAGAGTTGCGTGTTAAAGAATATGCAAAGTGTTTATTGGCCAGACTGGGGGTTGAACCCAGGCCTGAGGCCTCAGGATATATACCAGGTACTCTACCTATTGAGCTACCTGGCCATGGGTTCATTTAGAATTGGGAATATATCTTCACAATTGTATTTGCCTTATATGGTATTGGCATTACAGGTGACAGTAACATTGCGGGCATAAAGTAGTCAAATTCTAGAAAACTGCTGGCCTTCCAGAGGACCAGTCGATCATCTCCTATACCTTCAAGTGCAGCTGATATGCTGATATCTTTATCACACCCTTCAGGTGGCCGACCGGTTTACTGTCTTCGATTTCCACTAGAAATGTGTCGCAGGATCTCTCGAGAATCCAACATGCAGAGGGTGATTGTACGACTGGTCGCGACAGGCGCAACAGGTGCAACAGGCACGACACCCTGGGGTTCGGCTTCCTGTCGCTGCTTTTGCTGTTGCCTGGAGGTTCTGGTGACTTTTGATGGCCCGCCAGCTTCCTGTCGCTGTTTTTGCTGTTGCCTGGAGGTTCTGGCGACTTTTGATGGCCCGCCGGCTTCCTCTCGCTGCTTTTGCAGCCGCTTGCTGCTTCTGGTGAATTGTGGTGACTCGGAAGTTGGTCCCATGGTAACGAAACGATTTGTCGTGGCTATGCACTCATGGCCCGTCGCGCTCGGTTTCGTGTTTGTTACTGTCTCGTATCATCGAGCTCATGGCCTCGTGGCCCGCCTCAAAGTCTGACTCGCGCTTCACTTCTCTCGTCGTCGCCCCGTCTCTTGCCTCGTCGTCGCCCTCTCTTGCCTCGCCCTTTCGCCCCTCGCCCCTCCCTTTCGCCCCTCGCCCGGCCTCGCCACTCACTTGCTCTTGCCTGTCGCTCCGTCTCTCAGCTTGTCGTCCCGCTTTCGCACCCGCGCCCTCGTGTCTTCAGCCTCATGCAGGTGTGTTTGTGCCCCGCCACACCATCACACTCCACCCACACTGTGCCGTCTGATGATATGGGAAAAGCGGGGGACTGGGCACGTGATTTGAACATTCAGGTAGAGTTCACTCATTGTACACAGTCTATATTACAGTATTAAGTTCGGTAGGAACAGCGACATGCAACATTGTTGAGAATTTTCCTTCCAATAGCCTGGGTTGTTCGACCCCGCTCCACAAATGTTCAATCACGGTGGCCCATTGCTGACATCATATTAAGATTAAGATTACTTACTTTTTACTTCGCTCGGGTTGCCTGCTTCCCTTGGCCTTGGTGATTGACGGAAGCGAGATTGTGGTGCGCAATGGAAGTTAACGCGGAAGTTGGAAGACTGAGTGGATGTCAAGGGCAAGCAGATGCAGGGCGAGCCGGTGGAGTGCGAAGACCGAACATTTGGATGGCCGTGTTACATCCCAGCAATCAACACAAGGGAAGCCACTCTGTTAATGTTGGTAACATTGCATGGTGATTGTGAAGGTGTCCGCGCTATATGCTCAACAGCCACATTCAATGACTGAGGTGGGCATCAAGGAGAGACAAAGGAGTGGCGCGAAGGTGTGGGTGCAGGGTGAACGCTCGCCTCTGAGCAGGGGATGGGTGGGAGTGCCGGCGCTGGGAGTCGGCAGTGAGGTTGCGTCGCATAGGGAAGCATTTGAGCTCTTCTTTGCGGGCGCTGCAGCAGAATCACAGAGCACTGCTGCAGTCAGCGCGAGGCATGAGCAGGACCTTGAGAATCCTTCATACGGGAACGTGAACGGCGAGAAGCGGAACGTTGCTCTTGTGCTGCTACAGGCGGAGGCGAGGTTGGTTGAAGAAACGACTTGGAGAGATGGCGATCCCAGGGCATTCAACTTTTTTAAGGTCCGATATATTACGACATCTCCGACAAATGTTTCCCCGTCGGGGAACGAGATTCGTTTCAAGTTCACTCGTTTCTTTACCGCACACGTTCAATACAGAATCATTTCGTTACCATGGGACCAACTTCCGAGTCACCACAATTCACCAGAAGCAGCAAGCGACTGCAAAAACAGCGAGAGGAAGCCGCCGGGCCATCAAAAGTCACCAGAACCTCCAGGCAACAGCGAAAACAACGAGAGGAAGCCGCCGGGCCATCACAAGTTACCAGAACCTCCAGGCAACAGCAAAAACAACGAGAGGAAGTCGCCGGGCCATCACATGCATCACAAGTCACCAGAACCTCCAGGCAACAGCAAAAGCAGCGGCAGGAAGCCGAACCCCAGGGTGCCGTGCCAGTTGCGCCTGTCGCGACCACGTCGATAGCAAATCGCACAATCACCCTGTCATGTTGGATTTTCGAGAAATCCTATGACTCCTTTCTAGTGGAAATCGAAGACAATAAATCGGTCGGCCACCTGAAGGAAGCCATACTCAGAAGGAGAACAGTTGCGCTTGAAGGTATAGGAGATGATCAACTGGTCCTCTGGAAGGCCAGTAGTTTTCTAGACGTTGACTACTTTATGCTCCCAACTCCATCAAGGTATCCATTCCAGATAAAGATCTCACAGATGAGAGCATTCGAGAAAGTCTACCTCAAAGCAGGTTACCGAACTCTGCCATGTTGTCGAGGCTTTTCCCATATCCGGAACCCGCTGAGGAGTGCGTCCACATTGTCGCTGACATCTGGACTATCGTGAGTGCTGGCAATTCTACTCATCCCCATCCTTTCCCCCATCTCCCCATTTCTCCTTGTTGGGTTTGCGCCATTCCTAATTGATCTCGTCACTGCAGTTATGAAGAAGCGCAAACGTGAGGAAGAAGGTGGTCCTCCACCCGAAGTCGAGCGAAGTCGAGCGGCTGAGGAAAGACTTCGCCAAGGTGGCGCCGTCGTCGCTAGCGCTTCCTGCCATGTTCAAGACAATTTCAGGGCCAGACTGTACAGTGGCCTGTAATCTCCCTTTTGAACGATCCCTCTCGTACTCCATGAAGCGTTTGCAATCTTCATGGACAGATGCCGAGTGGCGCCTTCAAAGGAGGCACTCGTTTGCCTCTCGGAATTCGCCTGTGCCGCGTGCGATCGGTACGATTTTGGAGGTCCAGCGGAGGACCAAAATTCGGGCCGTACTCGAGATACGCATGGGTGTTTCGCTCGTCAAGCAAAAGATCCCGGGCACAGAATTCGTGACCGCTGGAAACCTCGCTGCCATTATCGTGCCGGCGGCAATGCAAGAACGAGCAAGGCCACGTACTCAGTCAAGTTATCGCCTATTATGATCTCCTCCTGCGAGCAATCGAGAATCCACTTCGATGCAATCACAATACCCGTTTTCTGAGCGTTCTCATGGTGGATATGGGTATGTTTGCTCGTTAACGCTCATTGATCGTCCGTTCACTTTTTAATTGTATATACAGGTTCGCTGTTAGGATTTTACGGTGCTGTATGGGACGGGGACCAGGTGAGGGCCGAACCTCTCACACCCGTCTTCGATCTGTCGATCCATTGGAGGGAAAGAAGCGCCAGACATGCGATCCCATCTGCGTTGGATGCACTTGTGGCCGCTGTCAACAATATCGAAGCTCATTACAAGTCGATCGAAGCCGCTGCCAATGCAAATCCAGCACCGATGGAGTACGACCGTCATCTCCGGAAAGTGCGCAAATTCCCGTTCTTGTCATCTTATGAAGACGACGGACGGCGAATAGCTTTCAAGCTTTCAAGTACAATGAGCGGCTCGACGACGAAAAGCTCATTTTCTCCGCAACCATCAACCAGGGTGACGAATGCCTTGTCAAATTCACAGGGCAGTATTCGGAGGCGGCGCATAGATACATGGCGTCCCACGGTTTAGCACCAAAGCTTCGGTGGTGCGTCCAAATCTCTGCGGAGTGGACCATGGTCATCATGGACCGATCAACCTACAAAAGACTCCATGGCTTGGGGTTCTCCCCAGAGGTGCAGGAGAAGGTGCGACGCAAAGTGAACGACGCTGTGCAATTGCTACACAATGGGCAGTTCGTTCATGGCGATATTCGAGATGTTAACATTCTTGTCGGCCACCTTGCACCAGAGGTGGCAATTCACCTAGTCGATTTTGATTGCAGGGAGTATTGGAGCGGCCGTTTACCTAATTGACGTCAATAAGTCGACGATGACGCGACCAGACGACGTTGAGGGCGGTGGGCTCATCACCAAGGAGCACGACCTCAAAATGGTAACTTATCTGTTCACATGACGGTTCTTGCCAACCACTCTTCTCTTAGTTATAGTACCGTACTTGGAATCCTCTACATGTCGGACGTACTGTACGCGAAAATCCCCCTTTTTTGGTCGTGTAATCCCCTGCTAAAACTGCCGAACTGTTGTCCACGGGTCCGGGCGTGACATCCTTGTAAGGTGGGATCGGGATCAAGAGGTCGCGCGTTCAACTTGTTCCCTTCCCCGAACGACGCCCGAACGATGCCCGGACGCACCCCCTCGTTCTCGACTGCGTGGGCCCGAAATCCCAAAGATTGGCCACTGAGCTGGTGGCCTAGGATGGGACGGTGAGTAGGCATTCATATTTTTGGTGCTCTAGAGCTGACCATGTATGTCATGCAGGCCTCTTTGCAGCGCGGCGACATCGCCCGCGCCCTCAATTCCAACCCGGGTCTTTCAACCGCATGTCAGAAAGAACGGGAGGGGTCGCGAGCGTGGCAAGGTGCCTGGCCCTGGACTCGCTCTCGCCGAGGCAAGGACCCATGTCCTTCTTGACGCCTGCGATCTGCACCCGGCAAACGGCCAGAAGCTGTCCTTCTCGCGCCGCTCACATCTACCACTCGAGCCGCACTCGCACTTGCATCCACCGCGCGCCCCTCCCACCACGACGTTCTCCCCACCCGCCTGGGCACTTGACAGGGCGCAAGCTATCCCACTTGCGGTGCAGCACACATTCTCCTCGGGGATCCCGCAGCTGGCGCGAGAACAGCAAGCCGAGCCTCGCGCGTTGACGTTCCTTCATCTTGTGGTGGCAGTGTGGTTGGCCCCTGCCCCACTATTACTACCATTACTCTTATTTAATAGTTTGTTCAAGTCATACAGTTTATAAAGTACCATGGGTGAACACTCGCGGTGTTCACCCCATGGGTTATTTGAAAATTAGTTTGGAAGTACCACGGTT